TCTCTCTCTGGTCTCTCTCTGGTCTCTCTCTCTGGTCTCTCTCTGGTCTCTCTCTGGTCTCTCTCTCCAGTCTCTCTCTGTTTCTCTCTCTGGGCTCCCTCTGGTCTCTTAGTCTCTGCAGTAAAACAAATCCCCCGTTTACCACCCCCACAGCTGCAGGAAACACAATTATAAAGCTGCGGACGAGTGGGAAGAGAAATGTAACAAAGTGAGAGGGAGGACCAGAGAGAGACCAGAGAGAGACCAGAGAGAGACCAGAGAGAGACCAGAGAGAGACCAGAGAGAGACCAGAGAGAGAACAGGGAGAGACCAGAGAGAGGCCAGAGAGAGACCAGAGAGAGACCAGAGAGAGACCAGAGAGAGACCAGAGAGAGACCAGAGAGAGATACCAGAGAGAGGCTCTGGTCGGCACGGTGGCACGGTGGTTGAGTGGTTAGCACTCTCGCCTCTCAGCAAGAAGGTCCTGGGTTCGAATCCCGGTCGGACCAGGGCCTTTCTGAGTGGAGTTTGCATGTTCTCTCCGTGTCTGCGTAGGTTTCCTCCGGGTGCTCCGGTTTCCCCTACCACTAAAAATATGTCCAATAGTTCTGGCATGCGCCTCCTGTACTGGCCCCGCTCCCATCTCTGTGTGGAGTGAGAGACAAATGCCCAAAAAAAATTGTAAACCGCTTTGAGACTCAGATCTGCAGTGAAAAGGCGGTATATAAATAAAAACTTACTTACTTACTACTTACTTACTAGAGATAGACCAGAGAGAGACCAGAGAGAGACCAGATCGAGACCAGAGAGAGACCTGAGAGAGAGACCAGAGAGAGACCAGAGAGAGAGACCAGAGAGAGACCAGATCGAGACCAGAGAGAGACCAGAGAGAGACTAGGGAGAGACCAGAGAGAGACCAGAGAAAGACCAGAGAGAGACCAGAGAGAGAGACCAGAGAGAGACCAGAGAGAGACCAGAAAACATCTATATCTTTTGAGAAATATTTGTTAGTTCTCACTTAGAATTGAGTTTCCCCGATTGAGACTGTTCCAACATCCGTACACTGCACAGGAGGAGAGCCTCCAAAACAGACTTTACATGGTTTTCAATGGGAGCAAAACTGTCCCACCTCTGCTCATGCGCCCCCTACAGGCCAGTTTAATGAGAGCCAAGAATAGCCATATTAACAGATGTAGTCTTCACTTTCTTCCCTATCCTTGGTCTCTCTCTGGTCTCTCTCTGGTCTCTCTCTGGCCTCTCTCTGGCCTCTCTCTGGTCTCTCTCTCTGGTCTCTCTCTGGTCTCTCTCTGGTCTCTCTCTGGTCTCTCTCTGGCCTCTCTCTGGTCTCTCTCTCTGGTCTCTCTCTCTGGTCTCTCTCTGGTCTCTCTCTGGTCTCTCTCTGGTCTCTTTCTGGGGGAGGAGTCTCAGACCTTGAATAAGACTTCTTGTTCCACACAGATGTGGAGTGTTCGGGCTCTACGCAGAATGAGCTCATTGTTTACAGTTCGACCTGGCTCTAAAAGCGGCCCCCATCCTCCCCCATCCTCTCCCCTCCCTCACCCTCTCCCCCCTGGCCTGAGGTGCCCCCAGCTCCTGGTATCCCCCCCACAAAGCATCCTCATCTGTGTTCCATTTGCTGTGATTCTGAAGTGACTCAACAGTTACACCAGAGTTTCATAGCCTCAAAGTGACGTTTACGGTCTTGAAAAACATCTGCTGATCGCTAACTTGATCAGCGGCCTGAGCGGAGCCTGCGAGGTCTTTGGTGTAACAGTGTGCTTATATCACTAGCTTTAACAATTATCTGTCTCTGTCACATCTATGGTCTCTCTCTGGTCTCTCTCTGGTCTCTCTCTGGTCCCTTCCTGGTCTCTCTCAGGTCCCTCTCTGGTCCCTCTCTGGTCTCTCTCTGGTCTCTCTCTATAGTCTCTTTGGTCCCTTCCTGGTCCCTCTCTTGTCTCTCTCTGGTCCCTCTCTGGTCCCTCTCGGGTCCCTCTCGGGTCCCTCTCTGGTCCCTCTCTGGTCTCTCTCTGGTCTCTCTGTGGTCTCTCTCGCTGGTCTCTCTCTCTGGTCTCTCTCTCTGGTCTCTCCCTGGTCTGTCTCTGGTCTCTCTCTGGTCTCTCTCTGGTCTCTTTCTGGTCTCTCTCTCTGGTCTCTCTCTCTGGTCTCTCTCTGGTCTCTCTCTGGTCTCCCTCTGGTCTCTCTCTCTGGTCTCTCTCTGGTCTCTCTCTCTGGTCTCTCTCTGGTCTCTCTTTCTGGTCTCTCTCTGGTCTCTCTCTCTGGTCTCTCTCTGGTCTCTCTCTGGTCTCTCTCTCTGGTCTCTCTCTGGTCTCTCTCTGGTCTCTCTCTGGTCTCTCTCTCTGGTCTCTCTCTCTGGTCTCTCTCTCTGGTCTCTCTCTGGTCTCTCTCTGGTCTCTTTCTGGTCTCTCTCTCTGGTCTCTCTCTCTGGTCTCTCTCTCTGGTCTCTCTCTCTGGTCTCTCTCTGGTCTCTCTCTGGTCCCTCTCTGGTCCCTCTCTGGTCTCTCTCTGGTCTCTCTCTATAGTCTCTCTGGTCCCTTCCTGGTCCCTCTCTGGTCCCTCTCAGGTCCCTCTCTGGTCCCTCTCAGGTCCCTCTCAGGTCCCTCTCTGGTCCCTCTCTGGTCCCTCTCTGGTCTCTCTGTGGTCTCTCTCGCTGGTCTCTCTCTCTGGTCTCTCTCTCTGGTCTCTCTCTCTGGTCTCTCTCTGGTTTCTCTCTATAGTCTCTCTGGTCCCTCTCTGGTCCCTCTCAGGTCCCTCTCTGGTCCCTCTCAGGTCCCTCTCTGGTCCCTCTCTGGTCCCTCTCAGGTCCCTCTCAGGTCCCTCTCTGGTCCCTCTCTGGTCCCTCTCTGGTCCCTCATCACAAATTATCTCTATAATTAAGGTATATTTCGTATTTAACATTAAATATCTTCCCAGTGAACATTCAGTCGTTACTATTTCAATAAAAATGAGTAAACGTTACATTTACACAATCACAGATTTCCCCGAACCACCGCGAAGACTACAGTTCCCAGCATGCCCGGCGTGGAAGGCATCTGCGCAATGCGTGCCTCCCATGGTGTGCCATCTACCCCACCATCTACCACACCATCATCAACCACACCATCAACTACACCATCAACTACACCATCAACCACACCATCAACCACACCATCAACCACACCATCAACCACACCATCAACCACACCATCAACCACACCATCTACCACACCATCAACCACACCATCAACCACACCATGAACCACACCATGAACCACACCATCAACCACACCATGAACCACACCATGAACCACACCATCAACCACACCATCAACCACACCATCAACCACACCATCAACCACACCATCAACCACACCATCAACCACACCATCAACCACACCATCAACCACACCATCAACCACACCATGAACCACACCATCAACCACACCATCACACCACAACCACCGTGAACCACACCATCAACCACACCATCAACCACACCATGAACCACACCATCAACCACACCATGAACCACACCATCAACCACACCATCAACCACACCATGAAACCACACCATCAACCACACCATCAACCACACCATCAACCACACCATGAACCACACCATCAACCACACCATCAACCACACCACCACACCATGAACCACACCATCAACCACACCACAACACCATCAACCACACCATCGAACCACACCATCAACCACACCATGAACCACACCATGAACACACACCATCAACCACACCATCAACCACACCATGAACCACACCATGAACCACACCATGAACCACACCATCAACCACACCATGAACCACACCATCAACCACACCATCAACCACACCATCAACCACACCATGAACCACACCATACCAACCACACCGTGAACCACACCATCAACCACACCATCAACCACACCATCACACCAGAACAACACCATCAACCACACCATCAACCACACCATCAACCACACCATCAACCACACCATGAACCACACCATCAACCACACCATGAACCACACCATGAACCACACCATCAACCACACCATGAACCACACCATCAACCACACCATCAACCACACCATCAACCACACCATCAACCACCACACCACCACACCATCAACCACACCATCAACCACACCATCAACCACACCATCAACCACACCATCAACACACACCATCAACCACACACCATCAACCACACCATCAACCACACCATCAACCACACCATCAACCACACCATGAAACACACCATGAACCACACCATCAACCACACCGTGAAACACACCATCAACCACACCGTGAAACACACCATCAACCACACCGTGAAACACACCATCAACCACACCATCAACCACACCATCAACCACACCATCAACCACACCATGAACCACACCATCAACCACACCATCAACCACACCATCAACCACACCATGAACCACACCGAACCAACCATCAACCACACCATCAACCACACCATGAACCACACCATCAACCACACCATCAACCACACCATGAACACACCCAACCACCATAACAACCAACCACACCGTGAACCACACCGTGATGAACCACACCCATCAACCACACCATCAACCACACCATGAACCACACCATCAACCACACCGTGAACCACACCGTGAACCACACCATGAACCACACCGTGAACCACACCGTGATGAACCACACCATCAACCACACCATCAACCACACCGTGAACCACACCATCAACCACACCGTGAACCACACCATGAACCACACCATCAACCACACCATCAACCACACCATCAACCACACCATGAAACCACACCATGAACCACACCATCAACCACACCGTGAAACACACCATCAACCACACCGTGAAACACACCATCAACCACACCATCAACCACACCGTGAAACACACCATCAACCACACCGTGAACCACACCATGAACCACACCATCAACCACACCATCAACCACACCATGAAACACACCGTGAACCAAACCATCAACCACACCATCAACCACACCATGAACCACACCATCAACCACACCATCAACCACACCGTGAACCACACCATGAAACACACCATGAACCACACCATCAACCACACCGTGAACCACACCGTGATGAACCACACCATCAACCACACCATCAACCACACCATGAACCACACCATCAACCACACCGTGAACCACACCGTGAACCACACCATGAACCACACCGTGAACCACACCGTGATGAACCACACCATCAACCACACCATCAACCACACCATCAACCACACCATCAACCACACCATGAACCACACCGTGAACCACACCATGAACCACACCATCAACCACACCATCAACCACACCATGAAACACACCGTGAACCACACCATCAACCACACCGTGAAACACACCATCAACCACACCGTGAAACACACCATCAACCACACCGTGAACCACACCATGAACCACACCATCAACCACACCATCAACCACACCATCAACCACACCATGAAACACACCATGAACCACACCATCAACCACACCGTGAAACACACCATCAACCACACCGTGAAACACACCATCAACCACACCATCAACCACACCGTGAAACACACCATCAACCACACCGTGAACCACACCATGAACCACACCATCAACCACACCATCAACCACACCATGAACCACACCGTGAACCAAACCATCAACCACACCATCAACCACACCATGAACCACACCATCAACCACACCATCAACCACACCATGAACCACACCATGAAACACACCATGAACCACACCATCAACCACACCGTGAACCACACCGTGATGAACCACACCATCAACCACACCATCAACCACACCATGAACCACACCATCAACCACACCGTGAACCACACCGTGAACCACACCATGAACCACACCGTGAACCACACCGTGATGAACCACACCATCAACCACACCATCAACCACACCATCAACCACACCATCAACCACACCATGAACCACACCGTGAACCACACCGTGATGAACCACACCATCAACCACACCATCAACCACACCATCAACCACACCATGAACCACACCATGAAACACACCATGAACCACACCATCAACCACAACATGAACCACACCATCAACCACACCATCAACCACACCGTGAACCACACCGTGATGAACCACACCATCAACCACACCATCAACCACACCATGAACCACACCATCAACCACACCGTGAACCACACCATGAACCACACCATCAACCACACCATCAACCACACCATCAACAACACCATGAACCACACCATCAACCACACCATGAAACACACCATGAACCACACCATCAACCACACCGTGAAACACACCATCAACCACACCGTGAAACACACCATCAACCACACCGTGAACCACACCATGAACCACACCATCAACCACACCATCAACCACACCATCAACCACACCATGAAACACACCATGAACCACACCATCAACCACACCGTGAAACACACCATCAACCACACCGTGAAACACACCATCAACCACACCATCAACCACACCGTGAAACACACCATCAACCACACCGTGAACCACACCATGAACCACACCATCAACCACACCATCAACCACACCATGAAACACACCGTGAACCAAACCATCAACCACACCATCAACCACACCATGAACCACACCATCAACCACACCATCAACCACACCGTGAACCACACCATGAAACACACCATGAACCACACCATCAACCACACCGTGAACCACACCGTGATGAACCACACCATCAACCACACCATCAACCACACCATGAACCACACCATCAACCACACCGTGAACCACACCGTGAACCACACCATGAACCACACCGTGAACCACACCGTGATGAACCACACCATCAACCACACCATCAACCACACCATCAACCACACCGTGAAACACACCATCAACCACACCGTGAACCACACCATGAACCACACCATCAACCACACCATCAACCACACCATGAAACACACCGTGAACCAAACCATCAACCACACCATCAACCACACCATGAACCACACCATCAACCAACCCATCAACCACACCGTGAACCACACCATCAACCACACCGTGAACCACACCATCAACCACACCGTGAACCACACCATCAACCACACCATCAACCACACCATCAACCACACCATGAAACACACCGTGAACCACACCATGAATCAACCACACCATGAACCACACCATCAACCACACCATGAACCACACCGTGAACCACACCATCAACCACACCATCAACCACACTGTGAACCACACCATCAACCACACCATGAACCACACCATGAACCACACCATGAACCACACCGTGAACCACACCGTGATGAACCACACCATCAACCACACCATGAACCACACCATCAACCACACCATGAACCACACCATCAACCACACCATGAACCACACCATCAACCACACCATGAACCACACCATGAAACACACCATCAACCACACCGTGAAACACACCATCAACCACACCGTGAAACACACCATCAACCACACCATGAACCACACCATCAACCACACCGTGAACCACACCATGAACCACACCGTGAACCACACCGTGAACCACACCGTGATGAACCACACCATCAACCACATCATCAACCACACCATCAACCACACCATGAACCACACCATGAACCACACCATCAACCACACCATCAACCACACCATCAACAACACCATGAACCACACCATCAACCACACCATGAAACACACCATGAAACACACCATCAACCACACCGTGAAACACACCATCAACCACACCATCAACCACACCGTGAAACACACCATCAACCACACCGTGAACCACACCATGAACCACACCATCAACCACACCATCAACCACACCATCAACCACACCATGAAACACACCGTGAACCAAACCATCAACCACACCATCAACCACACCATGAACCACACCATCAAACACACCATCAACCACACCGTGAACCACACCATGAAACACACCATGAACCACACCATCAACCACACCGTGAACCACACCGTGATGAACCACACCATCAACCACACCATGAACCACACCATCAACCACACCGTGAACCACACCGTGAACCACACCATGAACCACACCGTGAACCACACCGTGATGAACCACACCATCAACCACACCATCAACCACACCGTGAAACACACCATCAACCACACCGTGAACCACACCATCAACCACACCATCAACCACACCATGAAACACACCGTGAACCAAACCATCAACCACACCATCAACCACACCATGAACCACACCATCAACCAACCCATCAACCACACCGTGAACCACACCATCAACCACACCGTGAACCACACCATCAACCACACCGTGAACCACACCATCAACCACACCATCAACCACACCATCAACCACACCATGAAACACACCGTGAACCACACCATGAATCAACCACACCATGAACCACACCATCAACCACACCATGAACCACACCGTGAACCACACCATCAACCACACCATCAACCACACTGTGAACCACACCATCAACCACACCATCAACCACACCATGAACCACACCATGAACCACACCGTGAACCACACCGTGATGAACCACACCATCAACCACACCATGAACCACACCATCAACCACACCATGAACCACACCATCAACCACACCATGAACCACACCATCAACCACACCATGAACCACACCATGAAACACACCATCAACCACACCGTGAAACACACCATCAACCACACCGTGAAACACACCATCAACCACACCGTGAACCACATCATCAACCACACCATCAACCACACCGTGAAACACACCATCAACCACACCGTGAACCACACCATGAACCACACCATCAACCACACCGTGAACCACACCATCAACCACACCATCAACCACACTGTGAACCACACCATCAACCACACCATGAAACACACCATCAACCACACCATTAACCACACCGTGAACCATACCATCAACCACACCATGAACCACACCGTGAACCACACCATGAACCACACCATGAACCACACCATCAACCACACCATGAAACACACCATGAAACACACCGTCAACCACACCTTGAACCACACCATCAACCACACCGTGAAACACACCATCAACCACACCGTGAACCACACCATCAACCACACCGTGAACCACAACATCAACCACACCATCAACCACACCGTGAAACACACCATCAACCACACCGTGAACCACACCATGAACCACACCATCAACCACACCATGAAACACACCGTGAACCACACCATCAACCACACCGTGAACCACACCATGAACCACACCATCAACCACACCGTGAACCACACCGTGATGAACCACACCATCAACCATACTGTGAACCACACCGTGAACCACACCATCAACCACACCATGAAACACACCGTGAACCACACCATGAACCACACCATGAACCACACCATCAACCACACCATGAAACACACCATGAAACACACCGTGAACCACACCATCAACCACACCATGAAACACACCGTGAAACACACCGTGAACCACACCATCAACCACACCATCAACCACACCATCAACCACACCGTGAACCACACCATCAACCACACTGTGAACCACACCATCAACCACACCATGAAACACACCGTGAACCACACCATCAACCACACCGTGAACCATACCATCAACCACACCATGAACCACACCGTGAACCACACCATGAACCACACCATCAACCACACCATCAACCACACCATGAACCACACCGTGAACCCCACCATCAACCACACCATCAACCACACTGTGAACCACACCATCAACCACACCATGAAACACACCGTGAACCACACCATCAACCACACCATGAAACACACCATGAACCACACCATGAACCACACCATCAACCACACCATGAAACACACCATGAAACACACCGTGAACCACACCATCAACCACACCGTGAAACACACCATCAACCACACCGTGAACCACACCATCAACCACACCGTGAACCACACCATCAACCACACCGTGAACCACACCATCAACCACACCATGAACCACACCATCAACCACACCGTGAACCACACCGTGATGAACCACATCATCAACCACACCATGAACCACACCATCAACCACACCATCAACCACACCATGAACCACACCATCAACCACACCGTGAAACACACCATGAACCACACCATGAACCACACCATGAACCACACCGTGAACCACACCATCAACCACACCATGAACCACACCATCAACCACACCATCAACCACACCGTGAACCACACCATGAACCACACCGTGAACCACATCATAAACCACACCGTGAACCACACCATCAACCACACCGTGAACCACACCATCAACCACACCATGAACCACACCATCAACCACACAGTGAACCACACCATCAACCACACCATCAACCACACCGTGAACCACACCGTGAAACACACCATCAACCACACCATGAACCACACCATCAACCACACCGTGAACCACACCATCAACCACACCGTGAACCACATAGTGATGAACCACACCATCAACCACACCATCAACCACACCGTGAACCACACCGTGAAACACACCATGAACCACACCATCAACCACGCCGTGAACCATTAGATTTGTTCTCTCATATGGGTCTCCCTCCCTGTGGGTTTCCCTAGTTCTCCTCCAAGGTTTCTCACTTTTTCCCACTGGGTTTTTTAAGAGTTTTTCCTTGTCGATGCAGGAGGGTCTTGTTGGACAGTTAGTGTCCAACAGAAAGGATTGGTGATGATCAGGACACTTTAGCATTCTACAACATGTATGGACATTTTCTTCTGTGTGTGCTTTATATTCTTCATGTGTTTTAACTGTTGATTCTCTGACCTGTGTTGGTGATTTCAATGGTTTTGTTAAGTCTCTGAGATGACTTCTGTTGTGACCTAGGGCTATACAACAATACATTGTATTGTATTGTATTGTATTGTATTGTGTATTCTGCCTCGTATCTTTGACGATGTCCTAAAAACAACGCCCTAACGATAGATCTTTGACATGCTAATGAGTTAGGATCGTTAGACCTATAGATCTTTGACATGCTAATGAGTTAGGATCGTTATACCTATAGGTCTGTGACATGCTAATGAGTTAGGATCGTTAGACCTATAGATCTTTGACATGCTAATGAGTTAGGATCGTTATACCTATAGGTCTGTGACATGCTAATGAGTTACGATCGTTAGACCTGTAGGTCTGTGACATGCTAATGAGTTAGGATCATTAGACCTATAGGTCTGTGACATGCTAATGAGTTAGGATCGTTGGCCCTATAGGTCTGTGACATGCTAATGAGTTAGGATCGTTAGACCTATAGGTCTGTGACATGCTAATGAGTTAGGATCGTTGGCCCTATAGGTCTGTGACATGCTAATGAGTTAGGATCGTTATCCCAGCTGTGCGGAACACAGAGACTGCAGCTGTGTTTTTGTTAGAGCAGAACACAGAGACTGCAGCTGTGTTTCTGTTAGAGCAGAACACAGAGACTGCAGCTGTGTTTTTGTTAGAGCAGAACACAGAGACTGCAGCTGTGTTTCTGTTAGAGCAGAACACAGAGACTGCAGCTGTGTTTTTGTTAGAGCGGAACACAGAGACTGCAGCTGTGTTTCTGTTAGAGCAGAACACAGAGACTGCAGCTGTGTTTTTGTTAGAGCGGAACACAGAGACTGCAGCTGTGTTTTTGTTAGAGCAGAACACAGAGACTGCAGCTGTGTTTCTGTTAGAGCAGAACACAGACACTGCAGCTGTGTTTCTGTTAGAGCAGAACACAGAGACTGCAGCTGTGTTTTTGTTAGAGCAGAACACAGAGACTGCAGCTGTGTTTCTGTTAGAGCAGAACACAGAGACTGCAGCTGTGTTTTTGTTAGAGCAGAACACAGAGACTGCAGCTGTGTTTCTGTTAGAGCGGAACACAGAGACTGCAGCTGTGTTTCTGTTAGAGCGGAACACAGAGACTGCAGCTGTGTTTCTGTTAGAGCAGAACACAGAGACTGCAGCTGTGTTTCTGTTAGAGCAGAACACAGAGACTGCAGCTGTGTTTCTGTTAGAGCAGAACACAGAGACTGCAGCTGTGTTTCTGTTAGAGCAGAACACAGAGACTGCAGCTGTGTTTCTGTTAGAGCAGAACACAGAGACTGCAGCTGTGTTTCTGTTAGAGCGGAACACAGAGACTGAAGCTGCTGAAATCATTGTCAAACTTATGGGACTGTCTCTGGGCGGCAGGAGTGGTCCTGGGTTCGAATCCCGGTTGGAACAAAGCTTTCTGAGTGTTCTCCCTGTGTCTGCGTAGGTTTCCTCTGGGTGCTCCGGTTTTCCCTACCACTATACACCTGTACAATATGTCTTTGTGACTCTGTCTGTGAAAGGCGCTATATACTGTGTCTACTCTGGTCTCCTCTCTCTCCTCTCTCCTCTCTCTCTCTCTCCTCTCTCCTCTCTCTCTCTCCTCTCTCTCCTCTCTCCTCTCTCTCTCTCCTCCCTCTCCTCTCTCCTCTCTCTCTCTCCTCCCTCTCCTCCCTCCTCTCTCCTCTCTCTCTCTCCTCTCTCTCCTCCCTCTCCTCTCTCCTCTCTCCTCTCTCTCTCTCCTCTCTCTCTCTCCTCTCTCTCTCCTCTCTCTCTCTCTCCTCCCTCTCCTCTCGCTCTCTCCTCCCTCTCCTCTCTCCTCTCTCCTCTCCTCTCTCCTCTCTCCTCTCTCTCCTCTCTCTCTCTCTCTCCTCTCTCCTTAAACCCTTCTCTATGCGTTGGCCTCAGCAGCTGCTCTGGTCTCTGCTCCATAATCCCCAAGGTTGATGTCATCTTCTTGGCCTCAAACATGACGCTTACACACACACACACACACACGCACACGCACACGCACACGCACACGCACACGCACACGCACACGCACACACACACGCACACGCACACACACGCACATACACGTTTTTGTTACCTGGTGGGTCCCTTTGACAGGGCCGTTCAGAATGGGACCCATAGACATAATCTTTTTTTACTGGGACTACTTTAAGTAATACAAAACAGTCAATAGAAACCAAACAACTATTTTAAAGGAATTTTATTTTAGATTTTATTTTAGAATTGCAGTGATTCTATTTTTGACATAGAATTTAATGCCACTCCATGTCCGATGTCTAAGGTCATCTGGTGAGGCATTAATGCAGGCCAGGCCAGGCCAGGCCAGGCCAGGCCAGGCAGTGAGACTTCCCAGGGACCTTTCCAGTCTGTATGAAAGGTGTCATGGTCTTCTCCACAGCCTTCACCTCAGATGCAGACCATGGCTTTCTCTAACGTTCTAGGGAGAGAAATAAAAATATATTAGCAATATACACTCCCAGGGTTAGGACCAAGCAGCCTGGCTGTAATCCCCCACCTGGTACACTTACCAGAAGGGGCACTGCCACTACCATGGGGTGCATCTGGATGAATGGTTGAAGGTTCTCCGCTTGAAGTTTCTTTTAGCCCGTCCGTTTGTGAGAGGATCTCTACTGCTCTCCCTGTCGCACAGAAAATAAAAATACAAGTGGCCTTTAGGGGAAAAAAATCATACATATTTTAATAATATCAAGAATTACCTTCAGGCTCAATTTGTATCTGGTCGAGGCTCTTTCCTTCGAATTCCGTCACTCTTCCCTGCTCCATGGCCATCAACACTTTGCTGATTTTGGCCAGCTCCAGTGTCCCCTCTGGTAGTCTGTAATATTGCCTGTGGATGCGAATGTCATGGCCGAGGAAGTTGGCAAGTATGTCCATCTCATTCTCTTTCATATTGAGAACTGTAGACATAGTAGCTATGTGCTTTCTAAGTTTGGTTGAGGATAGCATCTCTGGATGCACCGCACCACATTCTTTGGCTACCTGGCGTAGGGAGTCTGATCCCCTGATGTGGGTGTCTGCGCCCGGGCGGGAAAAGAAGTATGGGTTATGGTCAGAGATGGAACAGGCCCTTCTGTTCTCCACCAGCACCTCCATCCAAGCAATCATTTCAGGAGTCAAAAGAACCGGCACTTTCCGACTTCTTTTCCCTTTAATTTCAATGCGTTGAAAATGCTGACACAGCTTTTTCTCAAGTTGGGACAGTCCCAGAGCAATGTCAGAATGGATCCCAGTCTTACTTCTTAAGGTAAAGGCTGTCAGTGGCATCTCTGAAACCTCACCTTCCCTTCTTCGATTGAAAATAATGACCTCACAAAGAGTCAAAACTGCCAGTTTAGACCAATGCTTAGACGTTGGCTCACTTATTAGGGTTTGCACATATTCAGGTCGACATACCTCAATATGTGCATGCATGGCTCTAACGTCCTCAGTCAGAGGGAGCAGGTCCGGAGTGTTCCACTTGGCTTGCCGGAGGGTCTGTAGGGCAGCAGAAGAAACACAGACGTCCCACCTCTTCTCAAAAAGCAGCCGGCTTCGTTGGAGGTTTTTAATAAATAGTTCATCAACACAATGCTCCATTTTTGAGTCACATTCAAGAATATCTGCTAGCTTTCTGAGGCTATGGCCGAGTTTGAGGGCCAAGGATGGAGTCTTGTATTGATTTGTTTCCTCATCATATCCAGCCACAGACCTGACTGCATCAATCACATGGTTAAAGTTGGAAGGAATAAAGAAATCCTTAATTGTTTTCAGTTTCCCTGCAGTTTTTGCTTCGTTAATTAACCTACCGACTTCTCTCATTTTCTGCCTAATGTAATCATGCTTAGTCTTATCATGCCCGTGTTTTAAGTACAGGTGCTCTCCGAGTCTCAGAATCCCCTTTTCTGCTTTGACAACACCCGTGACCTAATCCTGATGCATTGCCCAAATTAAAGAGCACAGCTTTTTGCTGATGCCCTCCGGTACAGGCTGGGCTAGGGAGCAGAGGGACTGGACCCTACTTCTACCTGGTTTAGCCTGGTTTAGCCTGGGCATCTTTCTGTGAAAGCCGGCACCTGGCCACATGCCTCCACAGCGACTTTCGCTTAAGCAATGCCCCACAGTCTATACAGTGCAAAAACTCACTGGATTTAACTGGGGAATTTGGCTGTTTAGCTGGGACTAAAGTTCCGATGCCGGCCTTTAAAACCTCAAAATTGTGCTCACGGTTTCCACTATTCCTGATCAAATCAAACTGAAGTTTACATGCTTTAGATTTCACAGGTAGAGCCAATGCTCTGGCTACGTCACTTTCATTTCCATGTTTTCTAGTCAAATGACGGGACATTTTGTGGCAGGACATTGAACAGTAGAGGCAGAAGTGTCTCTTGCTGTAAACTCGCCCCCCATTTTTCTTCTTTTGCAGCTGCATGATAACAATCTTATTTGCCTTTGGTTCGTCACTTTCCGAGTCTTGAAGAAAAGTGTTTTTGATTTTTCTTTTTCCATACTTTTTTACAGGTTTCTTCTTGACAGTTAAATCGTCAGAATCTGAGTCGACTTCATCAATTAGGGACTCTTGACTAAGCTGCACAAACAACAAATAATTAGTAATAATTCTATATAACAATTTGAAGTCATGACTTGTAGTCAGCACTTACCAGTGGTTTGTAAGCGTGCGCTTCAGTGTGCTGCTCTGTGATTGGCTGCAGCCTAATGAACCACACACT